AAACCCAAACACGTTTGTCTGCAAACACATGCTTTCTCCTGGGAACAAGCAGTACCAGCAAGATTGCCAAAACTCTTCTGATTGGAGCCATGAATCTTTTAGAATTGACTTACTGTCTTACTGGCAAAAGGTCAGACGTATGAAATTTACAGCCTTGTCTCCAGTTAGGATTCTCTCATCACGGCTGAATGAAAATCTGCCTGCCATTGCTTGGTTAACTTTTTCCCTTGCAGTGCGTGTCATACTAAACCATGCATGCATGTGTGCTCAGTCACGTCCGACTCTGCGACCCCAGGGACTGCAGCCCACCAGGCTCCTCTGTCCATGGGATTTCCCAGGCAAGAATCCTGGAGCAGGGACCTCCCTGGTGGCCCGGTGGTTAAGACTCCGTGCTCCCAATGCAGGGGGCCAGGGTTTGATCCCTAGTCAGGGAACTAGATCCCACATGCCACAACTAACAGTTTGCATGTCTCAATTAAAGATCCCACATACTGCAACTAAGACCTGACATAACCAAATAAATAAATAAATATTAAAAAAAAAAAAAAAGAACACTGGAGCAGATTGCTGTTTCCCCCTCCAGAGTATCTTCCCAGCCAAGGGATGGAACCTGACTCTCCTGTGGCTCCTGAACTGACAGGCGGATTCTTTACCACGGAGTCACCTGGGAAGCCCCCATATAAACCCACAAGATTGACCAAAGTTAGACTCAAGTATTAAAATAAGAGAAAATATGTTAGTTAATCTAACATATACACATTTACTATTTATCATAATCACACTAAAATATAAATTCTAAGTAGAGTACAAATAATGGTTGTAACAATACCACATTTATAAAACTTTATATTTTCACAGACATTATTAATATCCATTAATTAAATCAACAAATAGTTATTGGAAATTATATTTTAGATATTTGTGCCTGGAGAGGATAGTATAAAATACAACATGGTTCTTATATTCTCAGAACTCACTGTTTAGTGGGGGAAGTTATACGTTAGAGAAATAATTAACCAAATAATTAATAAATTCCACTTGTGATAAGTGCCATGATGAGGCTTCCCTGGTAAAGAATCTGCCTGCAGGATCACCCAGGTTCAATCCCTGGGTCAGGAAGATCCCCTGAAGAAGGGAATGGTTGCCAGTATTCTTGCTTGGAGAATTCCATGGACAGACGAGCCTGGCAAGCTACAGCCCATGGGGTTGCAAGGAGTTGGACACAACTGAGTGACTAACACTTTCACACTTTCAAGTGCCATGATGGAGAGTCTCCAGCAGGGAAACCTGACCTGTACTAGGGGGTTGGAGAAAGTTTCCCCAAGGAAGTGACAGGAAGGTTGAGACCTGAAGAATGAATGAGTTAATGTTATCAAAGAGGAGCATGAGCTCTAGAAGCCAAGGAATTAGCTGTGTAAGGACGTGAGTTTGGAAGGGGTGCCGTCTGTTCTGGAAAGTGATGAGCGGACACTAGGGTAGCTGGGCATCCAGACCCCAGAGACAAGTCATGTAAGCAGAGAACAGGCCAGGAGACTAGTGCTCACAACATGCTGAGTTTGGAAGACTACCATATTCTGAGAATTTGATCACAGGACCTTGTAACCTAATACAGACTGGCGGATAGTGCAGAGCAAAGCCAGGCTTTGCAAAGAGTCGGACACGACTTCACTTTCACTTTCACTAAGCCTCTTTATTGAATTTGTTACAATATTGCTGCTGTTTTAGGTTTTGGTTTTCTGGTTGTGAGGCATGTGGGATCTTAGCTCCCCTACCAGGTATTGAACCCATACCCTGTGCATTGCAAGGCAAAGTCTTAAGCACTGGACCACCAGGGGAGTCCCAGAATCATTCTTAATATACAGATTTGCTGGTCACTCATTTGGAGAGTCTCTCAGGAATGCTTCCCAGGTGGTTTCCCAGTGGCAAAGAACCTGCCTACCAATGCAGCATATGCAGGTTCATTCCCTGGGATGGAAAGGTCCCCTGGAGAAGGAAATGGCACCCACTCCAGTATTCTTGCCTGCAGAATCCCATGGACAGAGGAGACAGGCAGGCTACAGTCCAAGGGGTCCCCAAAGAGTCAGGCACGACTTAGCAACTATAATGGAAGCCAAGAAATTAAATGTGGCAGAGAAGGCAACAAAGGACAAAATTCCTCTTCTTTTGTATTTTGGTAAAATATATGTAACCTAAAATTTACCATTTTAATAATTCTAAAGTAGAATTTCACTGGCATTCAGTATTGACTTTGCCGTGCAGCCATCATCACTATATCTCCAGCACTTTTTCATCATCCCAAACAGAAACTGTACTCATGAAATAATAACTCCCCATGCTCCCTCTGTTAGCCCGGGTAACCACTGTTCATATTTTCTCACTCCATTAATTTGACTATTTGGGGTTCTTCATATAGATGGAATCATACTATATTTATCCTTTTGTGTCTGGTAGCTCACCTGGTAAAGAATCCTCCTGCAATACGGGAGACCTGGGTTGGGAAGATCCCTTGGAGAAGGGAACGGCTAGCCACTCCAGTGTTCTGGCCTGGAGAATTCCATGGACTACAGTCCATGGGGTCGCAGAGTTGGACACAACTGAGTGACTCATTTTGTTTCGTTTAGCATAAAGTCTTTAAGATTCATCCATGTTGTAGCATGTATCAGAATTTTATTTCTCTTTAAAGCTGAATAATATCCCATTTGTCTGTATGTATTTGCCACATTTTTGTGTATTCCTTTCACCCACTAATGAACTCTGGGGTTATCTCTACCTTTTGGCTATTGTGTATAACATTGCTATGAGCACTAATGTACAGATATCTTTTTAAGTCCAGCTTTCAATTCTGATGGGTATATACCCAGAATGGGATTTATGGGTCACACAGTAATTCTATGTCTAATTTTTTGAGGAACCACCATACTGTTTTCCACATTGGCTGCACCATTTTACATTTTCCATCAGGAATGCCTGTCATTTCTGAAAAGAAGAACAATCATGTTTTTCAGTAAGGGATCATTTTTTAAAAGGTGTCATGGGACCATAGCTCCCTCTTAAAATGCACTACCTTTTAGAGTCTCTGGTAAGACACAGGAGCTAATTTTACTGAGCTATTATTTGCTGCATATTTTCCCCAAAATTTTATTTTCATTTTGTTGCTCCTGATTCTTCAAAGGATATGCTTTTGACAAGGAAGAGAGTGTACTGCATCAGAAAGAAAAAGGCATTTTTAGTGCTGTATCAGAAAGAACAGAGACTTGGGGCTGTATACTGTGGGTTCTAACCCTGACTCTGCCCCATCCTGCGTGTGTGATTTTTTAATGTCACTAAGCCACTCTACACCAGTTTCCTCAAATGTAAACTAGAACAATAAAAATGCCTCCCCCAGGAAGTGGAAGGCTTCCCTGGTGGCTCAGTGGTAAAGAATCTGCCTGCCAGTGCAGGAGACACGGATTCCACCCCTAGATAGGGAAGATGCTCTGGAGGAGGAAATGGCAATCCACACCAGTATTCTTACATGGGAAATCCATGGACAGAGGAGCCTGGTGGGCTGAGGTCCACGGGGTCACAAAAGAGTCAGACACAACTTAACAACTAAACACCACCACCACTGATAAGGAGGCCAAATGAGATCAGGCATGCCATTGGTTTTCATAGAAGAACCTGAGCGCCAAGGCAACACTTCCTAACTCACACACCACAGAGTAACCTGCAGTAGAGCAACCTCCCTTCCATTTGTTTTACACATTAGGTTTCCCTGTGAGACTGGCTGGAGGAATCAGCTCTAACAGAAATTGAGAACCATCAAAATACGTGGGCCTTGCTTTCTCTCTCATTTTTTTCTTGTTGCCTAGTTTTAACTGTTTTTGCTGTCTCCTGGCATCTTCATACATGCCCATCTCCTCTCTGATGGAAAGAAAGTGGGACGAGGCAACTCTTCATTTAACCCCTCCTGCTTCCCCCAGATAATTTGCTTTTTTTCTATTTTCTTTCATTGCTTGATTTTCATAGAGACTGATCCTACTTTCTGCTTCTATTTTTTCTCCACTGATCTCCTTTTAGTCCCTTATTATATGAATTCTGGTCGTTGGCCTCCACTGCACCTATGTACTTAAACTCAACCTCTCACTAAATTCCATTCCCATTCTCTTAGCAGCTTTTGAAATAGTTTACTTCCCGCTTTCTTCCTCGAAACCCCTTTATTCCTGGTGTTAACAGAAACAATGAGATTCTGGCATACCCTCTTCTTCTCTGGCAGCTGCTTCCTGGACATCTCCAGTCCCAAGACAGTGGCGGGTCCCTAAGGATCAGCTGTCGGCCACCTGCTCCATCCCCCGCCCCAACAGTCCCTCTGAAATCTTGTCCATCTTCATGGCTTCAGCTGTCACGCTATGATGACCCAGTGTGTGACTAGGACCACTCCTCGGCTCCAGTTCCCTGGCTTCAGTGACATGTTGGACATTTCATGTCACATATCTGGCCACCAGTGATCTTATTAATTGAATCATTAACCTGGTCCTCAAGTGCCTCCCCCTCCAGACTTCCTATTTACGTTATGGCATCAGCAGTCTCACTGCTCTGAGATTTAACATCCCCCTCATGTGTGCATGCATGCTAAGTAGCTTCAGTTGTGTCTGACTCTTTTGAGACGCTATGGAACTATAGCCTGCCAGGCTCCTCTGTCCATGGGATTTCCCAGGCAAGAATACTAGAGTGGGTTGTCATGCCCTCCTCCAGGACATCTTCCCGACCCAGGGATCGAACCCATGTCTCCTTCACTGTAAGTGAATTCTCTACCTCTGAGCTGCCGGGGAAGCCCCTAACACCCCCCTCATGCTTGATAATTCCTTGCCGTCATCCCTCTTCTCCCACATCTGATCGGCCACAAACTTCCATTGACTCTTACGCCTCAGTGCCTTAGAAACGTCCTCCTCCCTCTTCACTCTGTCCACTGACATTCTAGTCTAAAAGTTTACTCCCCGAAGAGGTCCTCAAAGACTTACCTTCAGTGTCTGTCTTCCATCAGCTCCTCCCATGCACCATTTCTCTGCTTTCGTCAATCTCCTGTTCCAAACCTTTCATTTCTCCTTTCACCCCTAAAATACAATCCAAGCTCCTTAATTGGGTGCTCTGTGCCTTCTATAATCTGACCTCAACTTACTTTTCCAAACTTATTTTCTGTCTCCCTTAAGTTGTAACTTACTTTAGTAAAATATATAACCTTACAGAATTCTAAGAATCGAGAGTGCTATAAGTTTATTTTAAATTAAAAAAGCCTAACTCTGGTCTATTTGGCTACTGCATAGGAGTCAGGGTCATGCTCAGATCTGCCTTCTCTGAGTGTGAATAGAGTAGTTTTCTACACTGGAAGTACAGGCAAGGAGAAAGTTATTTCTGATACTAAGAAAATTGCTAAGCCAGTGCCTATACCAAGAAAAGGATAGGGGAACGGCTTTACCCCCTTCCCCTGATCTGCCCTAATTTTCATACATCTTTCTCTAACGTATACAGACCTAAATGGTCACTTGAAGCCTCCTCAGTCTTTTGCAAACATAGTCCCTAGTCTCCTCCCTCACCTCCGTAGGGTGCAGATCAGAAGCCCCTGCCTTCTGAGATATCCGGGAGCAATCGCTGAAGGTCTGTATAGAGATGGCTCCTGTGCTGGACATTCACCTTGGCCAAATGACAACTAAATTAAGTTTATTTTGAGGCTTAAAAATATAATAACTATACTAGAAATGTTAGAAACTAAAAATTGATATCCTTTACCAATAGGACCAGTCCAATATTTTGACTCTCTGATCAATTATTAGGATGAATAAAGGACCCTACTGTGTATATAAAGCCAAAAGAACACTAGTTACGACAACTCACTTTTACTTTCCTGTTGACCGAGATATTTTGTATTCTATATTGTCCTAAGTAAAAGCTCATGTTAAGTCTATATGAAAAACTATTTTAAGAGAATGGGAGAAATGGAGTGAATCCAATAAACAGGTAAAGAACTTGATATTGAAATTGATTTGTCAACAAATAAGAAAGAACATGGAAGTGTCTTCATGTTGTGTATGAGAGAAATTCTGTTATCTAAAGATATATTGTACAGCAACAAAGTTAAACTTCCTCACTTTTATTTTTTATAGCTTTTTTGAGATATACGTCATATATCAGTACCATAAATTTTACCCATTTAAAGTTTATAGCTCAGTGGTTTTTAGTGTAGTCACATAGGTGTGTAACCATTGCCAGAATGTAATTAGAAAACATTTCTGTGGGCTGGCAGAAGCCTGATACCCTAGCCCCTGACACCATTAATTTACTTTCTGTCTCTAATATGCATGTTCTAGACATTTTTCATACATATGGAATCATATGTTTTTAAATTTCATCCATGTTATAGCTCATGTCAGTATCTTATTTCTTTTTATGGTTGAATAATGCTTCATTGTGTGGACATGCTACATTCTATTTATCCAGCTGATGGACATTTAGGTTGCTTCCACTTCTTAGCAATGATTAACAATGCGGCTAAGAACATTCATTTTGGTGTAGACATATGTTTTCATTTCTCTTATATGTATACCCTTGTAGAATTACTGGGTCATAAACTAACATATATTAAATGCTATATGATATACATAAATATATATAAAGGATATATTTAAAAAACTGTACCTAAGTTAAATATATTAACCCTATACTTAATATTTTAAGGAGCTGCTATTTTTCAAAATGGCTACACCATTTTACATTCCCATCAGCAGTATATTAGGTTTCTAATTTCTCCACATTCTTGCCAACACTTGTTATTGCCTGTCTTTTTTAATGATCCTAGTGAGTTTAATGTAGTATCTCATTGTAGTTTTGAATCATCCTTATTTTTACAAGAGGAAACTGAAGTCTTGAGTCTCATACTTTGTTTCTCAGCTATTCAGGGGCAAAATAGGATCTACAGAGCTGTATTGTTTTGGAGAAAGATATGAGAAAACACCTAGCTAACTGTTAGTCTTAGTTACTAGAAGGCAGCAATTTAGGAAAGGAAGCACAGAAAGACTATTAACCTTTTTCTTTATGTTCATCTATTGTTAAAACAAGCATTTTAGAGATCAATATTACTTTAATAATTGAAACTATCAGAAAACAAACATAGTCAAAGCTATGGTTTTTCCATACATCCATAGTCATAGACAGATGTGAAAGTTGGAATGTAAAGAAGGCCAAGTGCCAAAGAATTGATGCTTTTGAATTGTGGCACTGGAGAAAAATCTTGAGAGTCCTTTGGACTGCAAGGAAATCAAACTGCAAAGAGATCCTAAAGGAAGTCAACCCTGAATATTCATTGGAAGGACTGATGCTGAAGCTGAAACTCCAATACTTTTGCCACCTGATGCAAAGAGCTGACTCACTGGAAAAGACCCTCATGCTGGGAAAGATTGAAGGCAAAGGAGAAGGGAGTGACAGAGGATGAGATGGTTGGATGGTATCACCAACTCAATGGACATGAGTTTGAGCAAACTCTGGGAGATAGTGAAGGACAGGGAAGCCTGGCATGCTTTCCTTGCAGTCCATGAGGTCTCAGATTTGGACATGACTTAGTGTCTAAACAGCACCAACGTAAGAAAACAAAATGAGAAAACCCATGACTTCTGATTTCCAGTTCTTCTTTTAATTCTTTGGGGGTTTGAGTTAAAGTCTTTTTGTGCACAAGGATTACCAATATACATATATAAATCATATGATATTGATATCAGATAATACATTTAATAATAGACACATATAAAAACTTACATAAAATACTGGCAAGGTCACACTTGGCCAATTAGAACCTGAGTATTCTGTGGCAAGTGTTAACACAGTGGCTAATGATTTGCAGGAATATTTGAATAAAAGTGTTACACTATTAGTATTTTCAGAATATGGAGCATTTGCCTGAAAGAAATTTTGTTTTTTGTGTGTGATTAAAATGCAGTAGAGAGACAATGGGTCATATTCTCCTCTCAATTCTTGAACACAGTCTAATAAACAGAAAAGACTCATGACTTGATCAGCTCGAGTAAGCGCCAAGTTGTGCCATTTGGCAGGTTGCCGCCATCCTTCTGGAGGCTGATCTTTCTGACCTGGTACAACAAGCTCCAGAACATCACTCATACTGGCTTAGCACTTCACAAACTTCTGTTGAGTCATTCTTCCAACACAAAGAACACGATATGTGTGTTCAGTCACTAGGTCATGTCCAATTCTGTAGCCCTCCAGGCTGCTCTGTCCATGGGATTTCTCAGGCAAGAATACTGATTGCCATTTTCTCCTCCAGGGGACCTTCCCGATGCAGGGATCGAAGCGGCATCTCCTGTATTGGCATGCAGATTCTTTACCACTGAGCAACCAGGGAAGCACACAGCAGTTTTAACTAGTTTCAAATACTTAATGGCAATAAAAACATGTGGATTAAATATAGCTCAAGTGGATACAATTTGTGAAAAAAATTTTTTTAATGAAGTCTAATGCAACTTCTGTATATCCTCTGGAAATTTTTTAAATTTGATATTTCTTATATATCCATGTTGCATTAGGGTGTGCAGAAAGCATGACAGATGCAGTCTGGTTCCCATCATTGGATTTTCTAAGTGCTTCGTTGTGCTCCTTCACAGTTTGAGCAAAACAGTCTAGTTTTGTTTTGTTTTTTAAGCAGAGTTCAAGCAAAAGAGGAAGAAGCAGCCAGAGCAGGATTCTAGCAGTTTCTCAACCCAGTTATTATCATTAATCAACTACTTCCTACCTGTAAGATTTATACTAAAGAATGAAAACCTGATAGTAAATACTCCAGAAAAAAAGGATTTAATTCCAGAATGAAAAGATAAAAATTGAAGCAGTGGTGGAAGTAGAAGAGAGTTTCTTCCAGCCTTTCCCGCAACACCATTACCCTTCATTATGAAAGTCAGCCAGTGAGAAACCCAGAGTGAAGAGCACTGTTGAGGGCTTTGGGCAGGTATTTGGGAGATAGGATCAGAAACTCCCAGATCTCAGAAGGATAACAAGGAATGTAAATTCCAGAGGCAAGAGTCTACCGCCAACAATATGCCTTTGCTTGCCCCGGAAATTCAGACCCTTGGAATGAAGAGTAAGAATTAACTAATCATCCTAACAGGAATTTATAGAGGCCGCACCAAGAAGACTGGCTTCAGGACGCTGTAATCATCTATGGCTTGACCTGTCACTAACACTCGTTTCACTTTCCAGGGAGCTGAATTTGTACATAAACTTGAGATGAAGAGTAGGCTCCCCTGGACAGAAACCTGCTTATGAAGGTAGGAAAGACAATTTAATTCAATAATCCATTGAATACCTTAGGTGTATGTTTTGGACTTTGTGTCATTTAGAGAAAATTCCTCTAATATAAATGGAAGAATTAAAAAAAAAAAAGAAAACATTCTGGTGGCAAAAAACCCTCAAAAGTAAGTTTTAAAAAATGTTTACCATTAATATCCCTCCAATGTGCTGTGTTCAGTCATGTCCAATTCTGCAACTCCATGAACTATAGCCCACCAGGCTCCTCTGTTCTTGAAATTCTCCAGGCTAGAGTACTGGAATAGGTTGCCATTTCCTTCTCCAGGGGGTCTTCCTGACCCAGGGATCAAACCCGCGTCGCCTGCATTGCAGGAAGATTCTTTACCATCTAAGCCACCAGGGAAACTCCTTCCCATATGTAATCTCATCTAAACCATCATATCTGCTGACAGAAAATATGTTTTTTATTTTTATTAAAGATATATCTTACTCCTTGTCTAGCTTATAGCACCTTGACTATTCTTACCTTTTCTTACTAAGTTCATTTTTATTTGATTAGCCCATTGTGTCAGATGCCAGGGATCAACTTGACTCAGATCATCTCATTTCATTTAGAGGTAGGTACAAGTTTTGTACAGATGAAAGAAAGAAGGGGGCTCTTCTTTAAAGAAAAGGATACAAAATTATGACTGCAAAAGTAGGTTAAAAGTTAGAATGATAATAGAAATTACAATAAATTAAAAACATTCTAATGCTGATGAATACTGTAAATAATACAAACTCAGAAAAAATACATGATATTTTTGATAATTAAATGCATAACATACTATTATCATACTTTTCTTCTACTTGTTTTGGCTTAATGCTCTTCAGTATCTTCTTTATGCAACAGATATTTTGTAATATCATCTTCTGTAAAGAAAATATAAAAGTAATTCAGTCTTTCTGCAGTAGTTGATCAAAGTTTGTTTCACATTTTGAGACTAGGGACTAGGGACTAGAGACTAGGGAATCTTCACAACCTCATACACAGACCTACTTGCTGTTTTTGATACTGCTACGAGTTTGTGTTTTAAAATCTAAAGAATCTTGATCAATTCTGTTTCACACAATTCCCATTGCAAAAGAAAGACCTGTGCTACCGCATCATATAAGTTCCAACTGGAAAGCCATGGTTTTGCCTAGACTTGGAGGCAAACTGAATCTTCCATTTACGGATTTGTACATCTGATGACTGGAAGAATTTCCCATACGCTAGCTTAGGACATTTCAAACATGTTTCTCCACCGCTTACTTACACAATCTTGGTCAGAGGTGTGATAGGACCGATTGGTGTTGTGTAAACCTTGGCTTTGCAGCTTTATGTCATGGCACCAGGTCAGCATAGTGGAAGTTACAAGGTTTCCTGGAAGCTGTTCCTTCACCAGGACACCTGGATATAACTTAACTTGCCACAAAAATGACTGCAAACTATGTAAAGATATCCCCTGAGACTTTAAGTGTATCACCAACTTAACTTGCGCTTACCAGGATCTTACACTATCTGTAGCTACTCTAACACACCACAGAGGGACACGCCTTCACGGGGTAAGTCAAAGGAGCAAGAGAGTCCTGTTAACTAGAGTAGCTTAAATATCTCTCATTTCACAAATTTTGCAAAAACACGTGGCACATGAACACATTGCTTAATCCTTTCCCAAAGCCTTGGAAAGAGCTACGCAAAAAAAAAAGACCTGAAGCTTTAGCATCCCCTACTTTAGTCCATTACTCCTGAGTCCACTTTATCTCACATATGGAATGCTCACCCTGTGAGCCACACATGGAAAAGCACATCGCCACACAGAAGTAAATCATGATTTAAAGGAAGTTAGTCTGCTTCTCTGGAGGAAAGAATTTCCTTCCTATATCATAGTAAATAAACTTTACAACTAACTGAAGCCATATTCCTCTGAGACTTCAGGGATTTTCAACAGAATTTTCTGGGGACAGTAAAGGGAAATTGCCTACTTGAGAAAAGAAAGAACGAATATTAATGGAAACGAAGCCCAGGTTCAATAGGGAGAATCTTCTTCAAGTGCCAGCTCAGTCATCCTGCCTGCAGCGCTGGCCCAGGGCTGTTATTACAGGTGTGTGACAGGCAAGGCACCAGATGGGGCCTGGGAGAAAAGAGGCCCCAACAGGGAAAATGGGAAATATGAAAGATGAACTGTGATATCTCTGGAGTTAATACCTGGGGCAGGTTTACCTGGCGCCCTAAAAGAAATCCAGAGGCAGACTCTGAGGCCATCCCAGCAGGTTGACACAACCAGAAGGAAAACAGGCAACATTTAGAAAAGTGTTTTAGCTCCCTACAATAAAATGTTCCCCTCCAGATTAGATCAAGACTTATTTTTACCTGAAGGCAGGAGTGATGAGATGACTTCTTAGGGCATTCATCATCAATCTATGACATCATATCAAAGAAGGATGAAATTTTATTCTCAGAGAAAGATGAATGACAGACACGTAGATTTGAAAACTATGCTTTTAATGCTCTCTATAAATCTTATAGGCTATTATTAACCTTTCAGTATAACTTTCCCACTTGAGAAAACAGAAAAGAAGCAGTGAGATGGTTTTAAATGTGCCTTTAAAATACCATAGAAAAATCACCAAAATGTTATCCTCTAATGTATTTTTTTTAGGTTCTTCTCAATTAATTTTTCCATTTCTATTTGAATAGGAATCTAACAATTTTTCCAGGTATGCTTAAGTAATATATAACATCTGAATTCATGAGACAATTAAGCTATGAAAACCAACACTTCTTTCATAGCAGTCTCTCTAGATAAAAATTACCTCTTTAATGATCCTTAGAACACTAAATTAGAAAAATCATGGAACTTCAACTGTACCTAATACTTTCATTTCCTAGGAGATTTGACCTCCTGGCAAGTTCAAGCTTTCCATTCCTTTTTATTTCTCCTTTGTAACTGTAACACTCTTGACGATTTCTCACATTCATTGTCCTGATGATGTCACATCTTCCTTGGCAACACTTTGTCAGTCTATTGTAAACAAGCTACAAAACTCTTGGCTGCCTTTAAAAAAATTTAATATGCTTCCTTAAAATGTCAGATATTATATCTCTTTATTTTCCCACAAAATTGAATGAAATATTGTGGCAGGATACCTTAAAATATGAGCAGAAGACAAAATTGAGGCCAAACTGGAAAGGTCAGATAACATGCTAGAGATTTCAGTAATCAGCGCTGAGATTATGTAATGATAACGCTCCCTTCTCCAGCCCTTCATACTTGATGTTTATGAACACCAGCTTAGTTAAATGTCAGCCACAGATGTAAACAGCAACAGTGGGTTTTGGAAAATGAGCTTTTAAATAATGTCATTGTCTTAAGAAAAGGAATCTGAAATTGCAGCTACATAAATATATATTTACATATCAACAAGACTGGAGAGTAACGTAAAAATGGAAAGAATTGGAATGCTTCAGGGGTGAGAGCGTAATTTTTTTTTTTTTGAAGAGAGGAAATTTTATATAATGAATACTGGAGTGGTTTGCGATGCCCTTCTGGAGATCTTCCTGACCCAGGGATAGAACCCATGTCTCTTAACTTCTCCTGCCTCGGCAAGTGAGTTCTTTACCACTAGTGGCACCTGGGAAGCCCCAGTGAATAATTAACTAGGTACAAAGTAGTCAGTCTGGTAACTGGAAGGATAATGAGAAAATTCTATGGTGTGAAGACAGCGAATCCTGAAAGGAGTTACCATCCCTGGTGTGAGAGAGTAAATTTTTTTTCAAAAAAGTTTTTGGTCTCATTGTTCACTCAGCATCTCCATAACGATGACTTGAATAATGGACACATCAGTTGGTTAGTAAAAGAAAGTCTATGGTCTGGCTCTGCTAGCTGGAACTTCTCAGTGCTGGAACAAGACAGTAAGTGCTATCCAAAGAAAGACTAAATCTGAGAATTTATTTCCATACTTCAGTGTGAAGGAAGCAGTAACAGAAATCATTTTATTAGCGTGACACCTCTCAAGGAGAAGAGCTAGACAATAAACGGCTGAGTCCGCTCCTGCCACCTGCTCCAGGGGTTTCTTTTCACTTGTTAGCTCTGAACGCTCTCCCACTCCTAGCGACAGTTTTCTGTGACAGAGGCTGTGCTGTGTGCTCTGCTTAGTCACTCAGTCGTGTCCAGCTCTTTCTGACCCTTTTGAAGTGTAGCCCGCCAGGCTCCTCTGTCCATGGGATTCTCCAGGCAAGAATACTGGAGTGGGTAGCCATTTCTTCCTCCAGGGGATTTTCCCGATCCCAGGGATCGAAACTGCGACTCCCGTGTCTGATGACAAAGGTCACATGGGCCTTAATTCCAAGTTTTAGAGAGACATCCGCAAATTCAAGGGTTTTGTGAGACTTGGTAAATTTACAAGAGAAGATGGATATCTGGTATGTATGATAAACTTGCAGGGATAACTCTGTATAGCCTCAGTGCAAAAGGTGTGCATAAACTTATGTAAATTTCAGAATGGCTTCCCTGGTGGCTCAGTGGTAAAGAATCCACCTGCCAAGCGGGAGACACAGGTTTAATCCCTGGGGCATGAAGATTCCCTGGTGAAGGAAATGGCAACCCTCTCCAGTATTCTTGCCTGGGAAATCCTGAGGACAGAGGAGTCTGGCAGGCCACAGTCCATAAGGTTGCAAGAGTTGGACATGACTTAAGGACTAAATGAACAAAACACTTTAGGGTAATTATCAGACACTCCTCCAAAATACTAAACAGTAAGGAATTTGCTATACTTTAAAAAACATGAATGTAAGCAAGTTTACAGGGAAAAAAGCTAGTAGATCTTAAATTCACTTTTTATTCAAAATAAGTCCTAATATTTCAATTTATAAAATGCATTTGTTATGGTTATAATGCATTTACACACTGTTTACAGTATTATCTTTCCCCTAAATTTTTTTCATGTGTTGATTTGCATGAATCAACCTAACCTGTATACTGTTCCATTTTAGTGATTATATAATCCATTGTATTGTAAGAGCATCATGTGTTTATCTTGTTTCTTATTGTTTTCAGTTTTCCACTATAGTTGAAAGTGCTAATATAAACACTCTGGTTTAAATATTGCCCCAACCTTTGAAGTTATTTCCTTGTAGTTCATTCTGCAGTATAGAATTATCAGGTCAAAAAAAAATATGCTTATTCTCCAGTATAGAATTATCAGATCAAAAAAGTATGAGTATTTTTCTAGGTATTGTAAGTTATGTTTTCTCTGTGTGCTGGACACTGTTTTAGGTATTTCAGATATTACCAGATTTATCCTAAAGACAACCCTATGAGATAGTTATTATTTTTATTATTTTTTACCTACAGGCAGACTGGACTGAAAAAACTTGAGTGACTTACCCATGGTAATAGAGAAAACAAGTGAAAAAATAGAAAAAAATAGAGCCAGAATTGAACCAGTTCCACATGGCTCCAAAGACCATGCTCATTCCAAAACACTTAGCAGTTCTCAAATGTTTTGACTGCAGGACCCCTTTCTACACTCTTAAAAAATCTTGAGTATTGTTAACTTGATTAATTGTGGTGATCATTTTGCAATGAACCCAAATTCCCTGACCAAGTTGAACACCTGAGACTATGCTCAAAGCTACTGTGGGTAGGTGGTGTGGGCTTGTGTATACAAGCTTGAAGATCAAACATGGCTGGACATGACTCCTGCTTCACCTTAGGAAATAAATGCTATTCAGAGATGTGACCTGGTTGGAGTCCAAGATCATCAGATATGAGGGGCAGATAGAGGGATGCTGTGCATGTGAAACTAATATGATGTAACATGTCAATTATATCTCAATTTTTTTCAATTATTGAAGGGGGGAAAAAAAGAACAAATTTTCCAAATAGTGGAACATTTCATTATGTAATATTTTAAAAATACATCCATTATGCTTATGTGGATCTCTTTAGGATTAAATGTTATTTTCTTTCATGTCTCATAATGAAACAGGCTGACAATCACCCCTGATTTATACTACAGAACAGGATTAGTTTATATGGTATTGAGAAATTTTAAAAGCTTGAGTTAGGAAACATAAAGGTTTTACTGCTATGTGGAAACATAAACATCTTAAATAAAAGAAACAGCTTATGACAAATATTCATGTAAATATAGGCATGTGTGTGTGTGCTCAGTTGTGTCTCACTCTTTGCAACCCCATGGACTGTAGCCTGCCAGGCTCCTCTGTCCATGGGATTTCCCAGGCAAGGATACTGGAGTGGGTTGCCATATCCGACTCCAGGGGATCTTCCCCAGTCAGGGATTGAACCTGAGCAAGTCTTTGGCATCTCCTCCATTGGCAGGCAGATTCTTTACCACTGCGTCACCTGGGAAGCCCAAATATAGACTGACGATTCAACGGTTAGAACTTGGTGCTCTCACTGCCGAGGCCCTGGGTTCACTCCCTGGTCAAGAAACTGAGATCCCACGAGTTGTGCAATGTGGCCAAAAAGAAAAAGAAAAAAAAAAAATCCTTCAGGATTAGCTCATGATGGTGGACAAAATTTTTCAAAATTCTAATACTCACTTGAAAGTTTGAAATTTATCATTGACAACAAACACTGTTGTTTTCCTTGAAGAAACATGGCCACTGGGCATGGCCACTGCACAGGCCAGTAGACATTTGTTGCTCTGTTTTGTCGCCCAGCATCTGAATCCTCTTATAAATATAGGTATTCTTTCATTTTTAAGTCTTTTGGAGAGGCAGTCTTGCCACCTCCTATGAAGGTCAAGGAGCAAGTACCCCTTGACCTTGAACCCTGTATATAATCTGGGAATAGCCAAATGTACATGCCTACCTGAGACTTCAGACCTTGAGCAAGTAACTTAAGATGAAGAGATTGTATTGGCTTGTTAGTTCAGCAGCAGTGGAGTATAGTGATAATAAAGGTGGTGGCATCCATGCCAAATGCTTCTGTCTAGCCTGTAGGTTACGCTACCCATTTCCAGGTTCCCCTCCATTTTGTAAGTCTCCATCACATCATTCGAAAAATTGTTTTTGTTGTTCTCTTTAAAATAGTCAAATTTGTTTGAAAAGAGTCATGATTGATTCAGAAGTCTGAAATCTGACATTTGCCCTCTGATATGGCAGTTGCCTTGTATAGTGAAGATACTGACTGTGGGGTACAAGAACATTTCAAGAGAAGAGAATTGCATGAGCAAAGGTGTTGGGGTGGAAAATTCACTCATTTAATCTTCCAGTGTGTATTTGCTGATTTTCCACTTTAGGTAAGACACCATTTGAGATACTGTGGCTACAGTAGTGGATGACATAGGACATTATTATTAAGAGTTGGTTAGGGAAAGGGAAAGGGGATGAGAAGAAAGGGTTGAAGCAACAATCATATTACAGAAATGAAATTGGCAAGGCTTTGTTACCAACTAGATCTGGACAGTGAAGATAGCAAAGGGTTTTGCACCCAAATGACCAGCAAGACAGTGGTGTCTTTAGCATAAGGAGAACAGAGGAAGAAAGTTGGGTGGGAAAGATGACCATTTCCACTGTAGATTTAATGCGTTTAAGGTTAAAAGGGGCAACTTGCTGCAGAAATCTCGGAGGCAGTCAGAAATGAGGGGCTGAAACTTGAGAGAACCGTGGGACGGAAGACAGGAGTAGAGATTTTGGAGTCATGTTCGTAGAAGTTAAGAGAGCAAAGCAGTGGAGAAATGGCCATGGTGGAGGCATGCGTGTTGTCCGAGTGTGTTCAGCTACCGTATAGACTGACAAGAGAAAAGGGTCCAGCAGAGATCTTTGCAGAACATCTGTGTTTAGGAATCCAGAGAGATCACTTGTGTACATAAATAAACATCGCATCATGTACAAATGGGAATGCCTTAAGAGAAGCATGGATGGTCCTACAGGACCTTGTAAGAGAGATTGCTTCCAGCTGAGAAGTTCAGGAAAGGCTTCCTTG